TAAGATATCTGATATAGAATGAGATTTCGTAGCATTAAAAACCAGAAACTAATTTCTCCCTCGAGAATCATTCGGAGAACATTCAGGATTGCATTGGGCGCAATGGCGGAGAGGGATGGTACGGATGCTGTATTTTCCCTAGGACTAGCTCGCCTTGTCTCTCTTCTAGCGGCCAAAGCAGAGGCTGCCATTTTACGCACTCTTGAAGTGGGCTCAGACATAATGGCGGCGACAGGAACACGTGTTGTTACAACAAGCCTACTGTCCCTACGTAGATCCTCGAGATATTCCGGACGGGGAGACTTCATTTTCGACATTTTGTTAAAATCTCGTTCCTATATAAGATATCTTATTTAGTAACGAGACTTTAATTATATAAGATATCTTATATAGCTATATGAGATATTTTATATCTTATATAGAAAATTAAATGAGATATCTTATATACGATATAAGATATCTTATATATCATATAAGATATCTTATATAGCATCTCATTTAATTTCTATATAAGATATCTCATATAGTATACAAGATATCTTATACATTATATAAGATATCTCATATACTATATAAGATATCTCATATACTATATGAGATATCTTATATACGATATAAGATATCTCATATAGTATATAAGATATCTTATATAATTCGATGAAATACAGAATCGACATTGCTCCTTGAATAAATGTTAAGTTGGCTTGCCATAGAAATGCGTGTACACAGTTTCAGATTTAGAGAATTTGAAGCCGTTTTCGTCTGCCCTATTTTGTAGTTTGTTTAAACTCTGTTGAAGTTGTCGTTCTATCGTGTGCATTTTCTTAGATCTGTAACAGATCAAGAAGTCATCCACGAATAACGACCCTTCTGTTGACTGACCAAGACATTTGGCTATATCATTGATTTTAAGACCAAACAGCGTGACTGATAGGAGTCCACCCTGTGAGACTCCCTTTTCCTGTTTAGACATTTCAGAAAAAAGTTAAACCAACACGGACTCTGAAGTGTTTATCTGATAGGTAATTAGATATATAATTTGGGAGTTTTCCACGTACGCCAAGGTCATGAAGATCTTTCATGATGCCATACTGCCATGTAGTATCGTAGGCCTTCTCAAGATCAAAGAACACGGCAACAAGGTGTTCCTTCTTGGCGAAAGCCTCTCGAATGAATGTCTCGAGTCTGATGAGATGGTCATTTGTCCCTATTCTATTTCTAAAACCACTTTGAAGAGGGGATATTTAATCGTTGGCCTCAAGAAACCAAACCAGTCTTGTGTTTATCATGCGTTCTCAAGTTTTACATAGACAACTAGTCAGAGAAATAGGATGATAGTTGTTTGGGTCAATAGCTTCCTTTCCCGGTTTTGGGATGGGTAGCGAATCAACAAGTTCTGGTAGGGTAAATGGTTTATGGAACTTTCTTTCTTTGATGATTTGAAATTGAGCCGCTTCTTTTCTTTTCCTTCCTTAAAGACTGGAATTTTTGAGAGTGGTTTAAAGGGAATGAGTTTTTAGCAATGCTTTTTGCAAATGCATCAGCAATTTCAGACTTAGACGAAAAACATTTGTTTTTGTTAATGAGGTGGGAGGATGTTGACTTTTTCTTTTTCCCACTTATTTCCCTAATCATATCCCATACTTTTTTGGAGGACGTGTTTGATGATACCTTGGATACATATTCTCTCCATCTGTTTCTTTTGTCAATTTTAATTGATCGCCGAGCGTTTGCCCGCCAAATTTGTAAATCGCTATAGTTTGAAGCAATTCAAGTAGCGTCTTAGAGCAGCTGCCCGATTACTGCGTGTTGTAAAAGATTCTTCTGATAAAAGGAACTTGGTAGGTTTTGGAGCGGATTTTGGAATTGTCTTTTGGGCAATAGAAGTGAGTGTTTCAATAAAAGTTTTGATTGCGTCGTCGAGGTTAGTAATTTTTCTGTGGTAAGCTACTCGTTGCACATGTGTTGGAATTGGACCCAATCTGCTTTGTGCACATTCCATCGAGGTAGAGGATCATCAAGAGGAGTGAAAAATTAGGAAGTGGTCACTCCCACAAAGATCATTATTTACCTTCCAGTCATTTTAAAGTAGAATGGAAGGATGGCATAATGATAGCTCAATGTGGGTACGAGAGCATGTAGCAGGATGTAAATAGGTAGGGGTATTGTTGTTAAAAAGACACAAGTTGTTTTTATCTATAGATTCGTCAATACGTCTTCCTCTCTCGTCTGTCTTTGGAGAGCCCCACAGGCTATTATGACCATTAAAATCACCGAGGATTATGAACGGTGTAGGGAGTTGGGAGACGATGTTATTGAGTTGCTCACAAGTAAAAGACAATACTCGGAGGATGATAAATTGAACAGACGGTTATTTGTCTGTGTAATGTTGCACAGACAGCAACAGCCTGTAAATTTGTGTTTAACTTGATCATTCTATATTTGCCTTTAATTCTGCGTTTTGTCAATTGTGAGGGAAAGCATGCAGCTTCGTCTCGAGACTGTCCTGTCTGGAATCGCGAAAGCGAGATATTGCGGGTCAAATATACCCGGAATGTCTCCTTTCTCGAGGATAGGAGGATAGTGGAGAGTTCAGACGTGGCTGCACCCTCATATGCACAAGTGACTAAAGTCCGGTCGCCGGTTGACAATGTCGCAGTCCAAGATGCTTCGGTTCAAGTATCTGAGGACAGACCTGCCTGGGGCTCGCCAGTCCCAAACATGGCTGGTCAACATAACTTGAAGATCCTCACGGGAGATCCATCCCGTTTCACCGCCAAAACTAAAACCAATTAACCTCACAAACAACAAAAGACGACACCACCATCAACAGTCAATGTTTCAAAAACCCCTTCCTCTTCAGGAAAAAAAACCCTTCAAAACGTGGCCCATCTAGGGCACATATGCGTTTGCAGCGATCTCGCTCACTTTCCTCTGTACCTTGATCCCAACTGAGTTTACAGGCAACGTCAACCTGAACGACGTTCTTGGAATGGTCTTAAATTTTCACCTGAGCGATATGGAAACGGCTGTAGATCGAGCACTCCAAAAAACTGGTCGAAGACAGCACATATTGGTAAAATTTACATTTCTAGTAAAACAGTATAATTTTTGTTTGATTATTCAAACTCCCTGATACCAGCATTGAGTTAACAGATACGCGAAAGGCTACAGATAACATAAAAAGCATGCTTCTTGATCAATTCCTTAATTAAATGTATAGTTCTATTCAGTGCTCTCGGATTAACGTCAAAACGTTTTTTACAATGTATTTTGTCAGCGACAAAATACGCTGAAGTTTGTTTATGAACTGATGTGCGCTTCATCAATCAGTTTTACGCCATACGTCTATTTACAGCAATGCCGTTGTCATAGTATGAAGTGAAACCTGTAAGCACTGGTTATATCTGCATGTGTACCAAGTTTTATTTTCAATCCGATGCTTTTTTTGATTATCAGATTTATATACGATAAAAGAGAAGAAGCTTATTCTATTTGGAAAGTTCCAAAGATGTTCCGAAGATTTCCGAGAGCAGTGCATCCGACGACACTCACAGGGAGATGTGTTAGACATAATGAGGGGAGATCTGCACGCTCTCTCAGACTTCACAGATATGCTGATATACAGCTATAACGGTTTATAACAAAACATACGTCTGCTGATATGTGTTATGACATATTTATTTAAGGAATAACCAGAATAACTTTTGGGGGATATGGTTTATACAGAAAAAAACCTGTGCAATTTGCATAGATCTTCGAAGCTGTTTATGCACAAACATGCACACAGATTGTCGGTAAATATCGAATAACACCCAAATAATCATGTTTATTCATTATAATTTAGCTTAGAAAGATAGACATTTTTTAGTTCATATTGTAGACATGTCTGATGAAAAGAATGAATGTTGTACAGAACACTACATTGTGCTGTTATTTCATCCCTAAATAACTTCAACCAATCGGATGTTAAAAGATGAACGCAAAATTATAAACAAATGTATATGACGTCATCGCCTTCCTCTGTGTTTCACTGGATATGCTTTTGCTCTGATGATAATACAGAATCAGAAAGAGGAGTTCTCTTTTGAGGAAAAATAACCAAAACTCTATTATATTTTTATTGATATGAAAATAAAACGTAATACGACTTTATACTAAATACTGTACACTTATTGCTACCGTTTAATAAAATCCTAGGTTCAAAACTTTACCTGTTTAAAGATGTCACAAGCCAGTATGACTGTGTCATATTTGGTTTACTATCACAATTTCGGTATCAGCCTCTTGGGGTATACAAAGAGGAAATCATTAAAGGTAATTTTGGGTATCCTAAATAGAAATAATAGATGATGGTTATCCCGTATAAAACAATTGTCCGTGTCCTTTTCAGACGAAACAGTTTGATGTTTCATTACACAAAATTTCTTGGTTTAAATTATTATTTGATTTCATTTATCTATACCAAATGATTAATTGATAATCATTGTTCTATTTTCTCACAAAATTGAGTACCTTCCCCTGGTGTAATTGCTTTTATACACCACCAAATACACAACGTTGTATTACTTAGTATGATACGATGTTGCCCGTCCATAACTCCGTCCATTATGTCATTGACCGATTCCCTTGAAACATCATTACATTTGTCGTCATCACATGTAGTACAGTATGTCTGACCAGGGTGTAGAACATAACGAAAAGGTAACTTTGTAATCTTTTAATTAACATTCCCTGGTCCCCATCGAACAATTTAAGTGAATGAGCCAAATCCATATTTTTGAATTATTAATCAATATGTTTGTTTGGATCGTGCATCAACTTACCGTAAATCTTTTATGTTTGTGAATGTCTATTTACGCAGTTTTGCTCCTGTCGATCAGCGAAGTTGTTTGAATTGTGTATATTGACTTTATTGGTTTATCTCGCAAATTATAAATAATTCTTATAGTTTTATACAACATCAACAGTTCTATGTATCATACAATACACAATAAACATTTTAATGATTCATATTTATTTAAAGTATTACGTGAGACCCTATTTCTAGTACGAATCACATACATATCCGAAGTCCACTGGGGTACTCGGGGTGATTGTTTGTGTAGACTTGACTGAGAACATTGAATAGCCATGCATCGTGTTTCTTTAACCAGGCCCTGTTTTCTGTCTCCGAGGTACAAATGTGGGTAAATTCACACCTGTAAGCAAAACAGCACGCATTGCAAAGTTGGCAGGAATACTTTTGTAATTTTGTAAGATAAACTAGTTAATCTGTTTTATTGCAATATTTTATATAATTGCTAAACTTGTTCTAGACAACTTGATGCTCTATATAAACTCATTAAAAGAAATGGATATATTTTGTCGTTTATTCGTGAAAACTATTGATTGCTCATTGACATTGGTGTATGCTGTTTTTTGTCTGGAACCTTCTATTCAAAATTACTTCTCCTCTTTTACATATCGTGCAACATGATGATAGCATCGTTTTGCTCTCTTTCTTTTTTACCTTTTCTAAAATTCTAAAATACCTGTATCACAAGTCATTTTCTTATTCTTTTCCATAATATGCCTGAAACACGCACCTACTATTTTTTACCATTTCGAACGCTTTTCCCCTACACGACTTATTGTGTACATGAGACTTTCTATCTCTCTACCATATCAATAAGCAAACCCAATACTTACTTGTTCATTCCTCCCGCAGGCCCATCGTCCCTAGTAATAACGTTGAAGAAAGAGGCGGTTGCCTCGGCCCAATACTCGTCCTTGTTGCTAAGTTCGTAACCGGGATACCACACATTGTGCTGGACCGCGTAGTTGTAGGCAGTGATCACCTTGAGATGGAAACGGTATATTTATGTTAAAGAACATAAGATCGACCGTTTGAAATGAACATAAATTTAGGGTGTAAAATGTTTGCCATCAGACAACGGGCACCCTGCGTGGCTTTTAACAGAGAATATACATGTATATCTTTGAAAAACGTGTAGATTCTTTGCTATTTCTGGACACCTTCGAAATATGCAGGAGGATTGAATAAAATTACATATATATAGTTTATATAGAAAAAATAAGATTTAACGACCGACTTAAACAATAGCTGCTTTCACCCTTCACATGGCTCTTCAGGTTTATTTCAAAAGAACAACTTCGTGACTTCACAATTACATGTCATCACACTACAATAGTAACCTGACGTCACGAAGTACACAAGAATGGTTGACAAACTGAAGCCAACTTACTTGCTATGCCGTTGAAATAAACATAAAGAGCTATGTGAAGGGTGATAGCAGCTAGCTTTTTAGTCTGTCGTTAAATCTTATTTTTCTATATTTACTTACGTCACATGGACATTTAATCCTTATTTATTATAGTTTATATTATATTTTTGATCACTTTTTTACTCGAATTGTTACTCTTTGTTACCAAATGAATGAACAAAACGAATATACTATATATTTTTTGCATCGTAAATGATAAACGGGTAGGCGACAAATACAAGATGTCATGGTGTTAAGGTAAAACAAAACCATTTTTAAATAGAAAACTGGTTGCTCAGATCTTATGGACAAATTCGATATCATCCTTAGTGGATCAAAAAAAATACTTGCGAATCTTTAATTAAATACATTTTGTCTCACCTGATTCTTGTATGACTGTGGCATATTCATCAAAACTAAGTGCCCAAACTCGTGCACAAGTATGTTTTCCTGTCCACCTTGTGGGTCGCCAGGCTGGCAGCCGACATTAATCGAAAGTGCCACAGATCGGGAATTGGTAATTCCGGCAATTGTTGAATACTTTCGTCCGTCAGACGTACATGTGTATGCGCATGCTCCAGTACAAATGCCTGTTTAACCAAATGCAGTCTGAACAGAGGTTGTGAAAACAATTAAGAAGCATTTGGAAAGGGAAAAAAATCATCATCAAATAGCACTGACACATTTTTGTTCGATTTTAAACCAACTAGATAGCAGAACAGGAAATAATCTGGAAATTATCCTACCGTGACACTGAGGAGTGTCCGCAAGATGCGCGTTCTCGGGAAATGCAGTGGCACCGTCAGCGGCAGTGAAAATCCCTACGCCATGGCTGTTAGCTACCCCAGAGAATACGTCCGTAGGCATGTTTTTCACCATGTAGGACACAATAAGTGTAGCCTGTTGTAATAAGGAAAATGTTGGACAATGCTTTTGTTTGGTTTATTTTATTTTATTCAACGTCCTATGAACAGCTAAGATCATTTAAGGATGTACTCTTCTGAGGTTTCCATCACGTTCGAGTCTCGTTTTGATCTGGTGTAACAGGTTTTTGTAATATTTAACAAATTATGATCAAGTTTATTAGCAAAAGCACATCTGAAAAATATGTAAAAAAAACTGTTATTTGTAGATTTTTCTTTACAAGAATTTAAAAAAATTAACAATTCGGCGGCCATTTTGAAAATGTGTTTTAATGTGTATTACTTGCGCTTCAAAAAAGGCAAAAAAAATAACCTTTTTTGACACTAGATTTATCACTTAAATTGCCATTGAGTTTCCGTTTCAAATTGTAGCAGGTTCAATTTTGCTGTACAACTTTATAGTAGAAAATGCAAAAAAAAAATATGTCCGTGTGTTCGTTTTTGTGCTATGATCGGTCAATGATACCAATTTAACACAACATGTGATTTAAGGTGATTTTTGGGGTTTTGACCATATGCAGAACAATTATGGAAGTAAAATTTCTAAATCTTATTGTTTTAACTCATTAACACCCTTTTCCAAAATTCCATATAAGAAAAAAAAGTTTAATACAGGATTTTTTTTACTTCTCAGATGTGTATATGTGCCGTAGACGGGATATGTTGGTGTGCTTGCCTCCTTCTGATGGCGCGGATCTGATACCGATTTTATAGTGGTATCTCTCTGAAATACAATGTACCATGCCCAAGGCACCCATCACAGCATTCCACTCGGTCACATTATACTGACAACGGGTGAACCAGTTGCTTCCATTACGCTCAATGCTGAACGTTAAGCAGGCAATAACAACTACCATTTTTAAGAACATTGGTATGTCCCGGCCTTGGGACAAAACCCATCGCCTTTCTCACCGGGACGAACGTTCAACATTAAAGCCAAAAGCAAGGTGTTGCCAAGCAACGCTCTAGGAAATAAAAGGAAGTTAGAAGTATTGAGAAATATGAAGAACCCAACTATTGCAATGGGTGAAACAGATTTATTTTGGTCGCTTTTGTGTCCCCAAATAGAGGACACCTAAGCAAATCCCAAATAATGCAAGGGATTCCACATTAGTCGCATCTTACTATACATGCCGTGAATAACAGCAGGTGTATTCCTTTATCGATCGCCGACCTGCAGTGGTGACAACGGTTTGGTTTGTATGTATTTTGCGTCCTATTAACAAATATGGTCAATTTAAGGACGTGTCATGTTTTGGTGGTTGATGATTGCTTGAGAACCTGGAGAAAAAACACCGACCTGCGGCCAGTACATGGCGACTACTCCATGTAGGCCTCGAACCTGCGACCAAGTCGTGGAGGGCTAGTGATCGTAGACGGTCGGACGCCTTAACCATTCGGCCATCGCGGCTTGGATGATGGACAGACACTATCAAACAATAGTGGTCTCCTCACGATTTAATACTAGCAACAGTAAAACTTGATCGTACAATTGTAGTATCAAGACAATAAAATAGTAGCAGCATAATAATATTATATATCAACAGAACAAATAATACTAACAGCGGTGCATGACAATAGAATAACAAGTGCAATATGATTGTAACAAGAGGCCCAATGGGCCTGCATCGCTCACCTGGTATTAATCTCACATTTGTAACCTTAAAAGTTGACTAAAATACAGCTACAGGCAGAATATCAGTGTTTGATTCATAAGAACCTATTAAAAGATTTAAACATATGATGCCTGTGACCTTGAATGTCGAACAATGACATAAGGTTGAACAGAGTTTTTAGTCTTCCAACCCAGCATGCTTCTGGCAAAATATCATTACCCTGGACCTTTTGGTTATACAGAACAAATCATTTAAAGATTTAAATATCTATTGACCACTGTGACCTTGAATATGGGTGAAGGTCATTCACTTGGTAGTCCTTCATCCCAGCATGTTAATGGCCAAATATCATCACTCTTGGCCTTTTGCTTATTAAGAAGAAGTCATTCAATGGTTTTAAACATATTTGACCCCTGTGACCTTGAATATATATGTCAAGGTCATTCATTNCCCTATGACCTTGAAAAAAGATGAAGGTCATTCATTTGAACAAACTTGGTAGCCCTTCATCACAGCATGTTACTGGCCAAATATCATCATCCTATCCCTCTTGTATATTCAGAAGAAGTTGTTTAAAGATTTTAACATATTTGACCCCTGTGACCTTGAATATAAATCAAGGTAATTTATTTGAACAAACTTGGTAGCCCTTCATCACAGCATGTTACTGGCCAAATGACATCACCCTAGGCCTCTCAGTTATTCAGGAGAAGTTGTTTAAATGTTTTGAACATATTTGACCCCTGTGACCTTGAATATAAGGCAAGGTCATTTATTTTTACAAACTTAGTAGCCCTTCATTCCACCATGTTACTTGCCAAATATCATCATCCTAGGCCTCTTGGTTATTCAGAAGAAGTTGATTAAAGATTTTTACATATTTGACCCCTGTGACCTTGAAAATTGACGAAAGTCATTTATTTGAACAAACTTGGTAGCCCTTCATCCAAGCATGCTTCTGACCAAATATCATCACCCTAGGCCTTTTGGTTAATGAGAAGAAGTTGTTTAAAGTAAAAAGTTGACGCCGGACGGACGACGGACGGACGACGGACGCCGCACCATGCCATAAGCTCACTTGGCCCTTCGGGCCAGGTGAGCTAAAAACCGTGTTAAAATAGTTTATCAGTAGCACAATATAACAATACTTTTGTATCAACAGCGCAATATGATATTATTAACAGTACAGTATAACAGTAAAAAAAGTTCAATTTTAAAATAGTACTAGTGCATTATAATAGTAATGGAAGTATTAATTAAATATAATTCGCGCGACATGCATGTAGTTATATATTAATGTTTACCTTCCATAGGATGTCATCAGAAACGGCCTGAGTTGCGTCAACATTGATGGTCTGTGCGAATATTTGTGGTGTTGTGTAGATTTTACCTCCTACGCCAACATACATACTCTTGAATGATGACTTTGTGAAGTGATGATGTTGGTGGATCTTGGAATGAAGAATAGCATAACGAACGTCTTTGTCCAAGGCACTACGGAAATTATACGAAAGTCATGGTATTAAATATTAGGTTAAGAGCAAAATTAACTATACCGTATCGTAGAATCTATTGAACATGTGTAATGTTGTCAGAGTTATCTCAACTCGAGGGTGCAATTTGTGAAGTTTATCCCGAGGGTTGAGATTTCTTACTGCAGCGCACAGGTTTGATTTATTATTTTCTCCTACACTTCCATACCTAAAACTACAATTACAATGGGGATTAAAGTGTACCGAGATAAGTAATGGTTATATTATAGACTCGAGCGAATATGTCAATTATCACAACGAGAGGGGCGGGTTTCAACCCGAGTACGCGAAGCGCACGAGGGTTGAGCCCCGCCCCTCGAGTGTGATGACTGACATATCCGCGAGAGCCTATGGTATATGTTTTTTGTCGCATATAGTGTCACGTGATTTGAAGTGTGTGAAAACCCAAATTTATTCAATCAGTTCGAGCTTAGAGGTCAAGATGTCAGATTACATAAGAAATTATAGTAGAATCATTCGATGAGTTTGACGACATACATTTATCACAACTCTGGCACGATACGAAGACGATGTGCGGAGAACGGCGGTCAGAGCCTACAAACGACCATGCCCCACACAGGCGATTGAGGTTAGTAAAATGCCTAACCCTCCACAATCGAAATTGAAAATATACCCACAGACAGTAATGCCGTTAACGGACGTTTCTGACGTACAACAGCAGGGCCAGGTTTTCCACAACTGCTAAGTATCTTTCAATTTTACTACTAAATGAATGTTTGAATTTTATTGACTTTGCAGTTCAATGTGTACGTTGAACTATTATTGACTTTGCAGTTCATTGTTTACAATCAACGACAGTAACGGTCAATTCCACTACTTTTTATCAATTAAATTGTTAAACATTGTTGGAGTTTTGATTTCTTTATTTCCGGTCTCTAAAATTTTCCCACGGTTTTGTAGTACCTCAAACTGACAGCCTTATTTGACGCTAATAGGCAATCATCGATTCCATTGGATTAGGTGTATCTACCAATGAGGTACTCCAAATCTGAGGAATAACTAAGGGTTGGAGCCCCAATTATACCATATGGTTTCACTAAAACAGGTTGGTTATACCATGACTAGATCAGAGGAATTATGACACGACTATGCGACATAAAATGTGAGACAACATTGACAAGGTATTGAACCAATGATAACGTGTACAGAGTAGAAGCGCGTGTGAGTTGTCTTTTTCTGGGTATGGAAATATATATTCTTAATCTAACTACTCACTATATACTAAACTACTCACTATAAACTTAATTTAACTAAAATATGTCTATGTTTTCCCTATTTATCATGCATTCCCTCAAAAAAGGTGTATATTCGTTTTCATAAGATTGCAAGTTTTATGTCATTAGGCAGTTACATAATTTAATTGAGGAAAACGGTTGTATACGCACTTACCTTAACAGAGAATATATAAATGAGCCCCTTTTACATATGATTTTGCTCAAATGAATTTAAGCGATGTTATAGCAAATAATTTATGGGAACGGATTTTAGATTCTTTTTATCATACAAGGCATGTTCCATTGAACATTTTTTTATTATTATTTAAACAGGAAAACTCAAAGGAAAATACCTTTATATATTCCATTACCGTGACTTGATGACGTTATTATAGTATTCGTAGCTGTTGGTCACAGCTCGTAATATTACAAATCAAAAGAAGATCGATTGCATTTACTTACTTCAGTGCCTCGTTTGACAAAGGAGGTGAAAGCCCGAGAACAGCTGAAAATTGAAAAATGTTAAAAATGAGAAATTGAATACTGTACATCATTTTATCCTTGAAAACGTGCTATACTGTTATAAAACATAATATCAAGTAGCAATGCAATGACTAACATTACAAATGAAAGAATATGCTTTGAAAGAGCCACTATTTCGAAAAAAACCACTTTATACGTACATATGAAAATAGTGGTTAGGACCAGTATAAAGCTCTGGGCTGTTTTGTAGACCATGTTTGACATATGTCTGACAGAGTAATATGAAGTTTGAACGGTCAGTGATAGCAGTTTTGTTAGACAGTATCGCAAATTATATTAGAGATAGCGTACAAAGTAAGGGAAACAAGCACCTGGTACTGGTCGTTATCGTCTCCAGTAATATTTAAAGATAAACCTAGACTTATAAAACGAAATTGTCAGTGAATGATTTATAGCGAGCTTTATAACAAAAACGACATTTTATTAGTGGACACTCCATATTTAAATAAAGTTGAACGTCCAACATCATTTTCGATATTTCACATAAAATGTGTTCCTAAATGTGTACATAACACTGTGTTGTTAGCAGAATACCGTTCATACTGACGTATTCAAGTTTTTTTTACAAGTTTTATTCGAACTTTAGGCCATTGGCCCATCAGTATACAATACATATTATACACAAATCATGGACAATATACACAGAATGAGGACAATTGATTACCCTCAATCTGTTTACCTCATAGATGAATTTTACTAGTATACACAATTCTTTAATATTATGGACACTCAATAACTGAACGACTTTAAACACAGATGGGTTTTTTCCAATAACATCTTTTGATAATACGTGATCTGAGATTTTGGAATTCAGAACAGACTAATAAAAAATTAAATTCATCCTACTCAGAGCAGTGAATTAACTATTGATGAGAAGTAGGATTATTGGTACTCAACACCAGTACTGCCTAATAGCGTTCCATCGCCTTCTCCAACATGCTATTGTATTCATGAATAGATTGTAGTACATTATAACCCCTAAATTGATCTCTTATGACAAACTATCGCATTGGTAAGCATTAACTGCAAAGTATACAGTAGTTGTTTCTACTGTTGTAAGATAGGATATAAAATTCATCTCAAGAATGCGTACTGATAAATACTGATTTCTTTGCTTTGCAACATATATAACGTTTAAGTAATGTTGAAATAAATCATTCATAATTTCCCGTATTTGAGTGACCAATGAATTAAAGGTTAGGTAGTATGATACACAGTAGGTTTCTTTGACATGAAACTATAAAACAGTCCATTATTTTCAAATTCTTTAATAGGGCATCATATCCTCAACGATTTGTTTCAGCGTATCAATTCTCATAAGTCCTCTTAGGATTAATCCTATCCTACATATGAATTGACCTGAGAGTAACCCTGTTAGATATACGTCTAAATTCATTCCCGCAGGTAGGCACAAAGTACAGCTGATAAGATATAAACTGTTGAAACAAACAAGGTCATCCTATAAACGATCATGATTAAACTTTAAAGCGAAATGAAAGTCTTTGTATCACAGAGAATCTGTCCATGTGGACTATTTATCATTAGTAACTAGCATTATATGGCTTTTCAATTGCCTCATATCAGAAAGCTTAATGATAACGACACGATGAAAACAGCTATGAGAAAAGTGAAGACGGCGTCGTCAAAAAAACACAGCAATTTGAAACAATATTTTTTTAGACTTAAACCACGATAGTTGGTTAAATTAAAAAACGTTATTGATTTCACTTCGTTTTAGGTTCCCGTTAGGCTGTTCTGGCCCAATGATTTCCGAATTTATTCCTGTTTAGATGATTGAAATCAAGCGGTCTCAAAAGAGCCTTATAATGATAAAGACAAATATTTATTTTTTCATTTATATATTGTAATAATACATGTACAAAAAGGTATTTGCAATATTTCGTTTTGGGGTACTAACTTTATGTAGAGTACAGTTAATGTGCAAAATGTGATGAAAATATACTATCATATGTATTCAATTAAAACAATTCCTATTTCATTTGATGAAAACGTGCCCTATAAAAGGGTTCTCTCGACAAAAAACCCTTCCGTTTTTGTTTTTTGAATTAGAGCAGTATTGTTCATTTCTTATTACATAATTAGTATGGTGTGCATATGAACTTTGAAATGAATATTTTAATAACATCAAAGTGACATAAGCTTCTTTAATAAACAAGCGCTGTGATCAAGAATAAAGATGGCAAAATCTTCTTCAAAACAAATGATGCGGGTAGCATGAGGATTTCTTTTTTTAAAATATGGGACTTGTCGGACTTGAGCTAGACAGTGTATATATAAATTATATCACGCATAATTATTTTTTCTCTAATTTCGCATAAAATATTTTTTGGTGCAGACGAATACATCCACGGGTACTCGTAACACATGCATGGATATGTACATCGCAGTATGAACGATTGTTTCTATATCGTGAGATATCCATGCATGTGTGGTATTTTATTAATTACATCATATACTTGTTCTTCCTATGCTCTCTTTATGTCATCCAAATTATTACTCGTAATTATTCTGGGCTTGTGTTGAATTCGCTGTCAAGAAACAAAAATGAAACAAGCAAGATGGCAGACAAGATGTCACGAAAGGAATACAGGCGTCTCCAATCGCAAACACATATTCTAAACCCATTCTTTTATCACTTCGTCGATAATCAGAGAATCAGATCTTTAAATAATTACATTTTTGGATGACATATATGCAAAACGGAACCCTGTGTTACGTGGTCTCCCAGTTGACTGTAGCACTATAAATAGATTCACTGAATTAATATATATTTGTATGTGTGTTTTTGACAAGGTAGATCTAGTTGCATGAAGCTTCCTTTGTACAATGGTAACTTAAAACAATTTCAACATCAATATTTATTTAAATATAGAGTTTCCTAATAAATGATTCGTTTTCAAACAAAGTACGTACGTATGTACAACTCCTCATTGTGTGACTTCTCCAGTGGAACTTTTTCATTTTGCCTAACCGACCTTTGAACTCCCGATTAAGCCAGAATAGAGTCACGAAGGTCACAAGAACATGGAAGGGATTAATGCATACACCAAATGTGAGTGTTTGTTTGTGTAAACAATTCGTAAGGATGATCTTCTCTTAGTCGTTGTATTGTGACTAATTCGCTATTACTTACATGTGTGTAACAGGTTATGTATATGGTAGCGGATCAGACGGTGTTGTGAGAAATATACCATATTGTCTGTCTGTCTTGTATATTATACTTACAATCTGATGATTATGCTTTACAAGTCTGATAATTTTATTGATTTTTAGTTAGGAAATCGTTATTAATGCGTTTCATTAATTAGTTATGTTCATAAAACAAAGCCATATTTATGACGCGTGACCCGGTTATGCACAGAGAAACTCAATACATGTATGTATATATTGTCCGTCTTGCGCCTTACTAAGACAACATCTATCCGGTCAAAGCTTCTGATATCAGTGAAATTCACCTCTACACGAACTGCTAATAGGTGTCTCTAATGAAATCAATAATGTTAGTGCCATACTATTGCACCTTTATGGTTTGATAAACGTTTGTCAACAATCAGAGTATTTATGTATTTGTTAAAATCGGCAGTTCCTAGTAATATACAACCGGATAATTCAACAATAACAACGAAAGTCGAGATATAAAAACGTTGATCCTCAAACACGATATTTTAATATCCAAGTTTTACTTTCTGTACAAGCAATTTAAGTATTAAACGTGTAGCAACGTTTCAAGACCAACTGATCCCTTTGTCAAGATATGACTGAATGAGAGATTTGTATGTTTTACCTGTGCAACGATGTGATGAAATTGTATATTGTTTATGTCAACGACCCGGGACGTTTCGCCTATCGATAGGAAGCGTCTACACAATGCATCAGATAGGTTACAGGTAGGGTGTAGATCTAGCCCCCTCCCCTGTTATGTCAGTATCGGATCATACATATTACTCAGCTGGTCCCCGCCCCCCTCGTCTCTGTTCATGTTCTGAGTTTTCCTGATTTTGATTGCTTCTTTTATTTGTCTCGTTTTTGTGTGTTGTTCCCTTTCAACTATCTGTGCATTGTCCCAATCGACGATGTGATGTTAGGTGTTAGCGTGATAAATGTACACATGTATGCTTCACAAAAAATTGACAGATAATACTTGGTGATACCATTATTACATCTTCCGAAAGATTCCGTTCAAATATTTTCTAATACAAATTAAAAATAGTATTGGAGGCGTTGCTGCTGAAATAAAGATAATAAATCATATTTTCATATTTGTTTTAAGACATTTTACGTTTTTATATATTAAATATGCCCAAAGTGCTGAACACACAAAAACGAGCAAAAAAATATGCCCTTATTAAAAAGTCTTCCTCTTTCTAATTATCACTACTCGTTAATAAATTTAACGTTGCTCTTATGTTTGATATTGCGTTTTTTGTGCACACGCCGATGGTTTTAATTGACACCTTTTTATCGCAGTTGCACTGGTCACTGTTCTGTCCTGCTGTTTGGTGCGTGCGCTACAAGGTAAATACACGATACACTCTGCTGTCTTCCCTTTTTGAAAGGAAACATTAGCTTAAAAAGTTAAGGAATCAAATAAGTAGCTAGACTGGCCCCCGTCTCTAGAATATCATATAGATATTCAATTATTGAGAAAAAAAACCTCTTATAAGTTTGATCACTGGATGTCTGATTCTAGCATAAGTTCTAAACTAGGGAGATATAAGCTAGTAGTAAATGAAGTCGAAAAATTCTGGTAGCTAGTCTTATAAGATGCTGGAGTTACAATGCATAGTAAGTGCAATAAAATAAAGTGTGTTCTAAAAGATAATGTTACCTATTTATTTCACTTCAATCCTGATTGTGTTTACTTTCTAGAAAGTGCTGGATAAAGTAATGTAAATTTGTTCAAGGTCTTTAATACAATATTTGATGGTTTTTTTGTATATACGGGAGCATGACGATGTCTACGTTTCAGAAATATTGTGTTATTTATATCCATTTCTAGACTAACGACATGTAAAATAGTATTAAGAAAAAATAATCTCGGTATCAGAAATGTTTCCATTGTTGTCTACTTGATGACTTTTTATCAGATCATAAAGAATACCTACTTAGTTAGAAATGCTATGATTTAATATATGAAAATGTAAGCTAATGCTATACCAATATATCCGTTTATTCAACATTTGGATACTATGTTTTTTTATTCAATTAATAGACTGTACACAATAACAATATGCAACATTCATAATTTACTTCATCAGGTGTTTTTTTCATTTTATATTAATTTGCCTCTCTTTTGCCATATCTAATAAGCAATACCTTTTATTTAGAAGAAATATTTACAAATTGATGTATAACTACCTTACATTAAAAAGTCCGATATTAGCTACATGTAATTCATTGCATTTTGTCTGATTATCCAGCTGCCGACCCTATTACATGTCTCCAATGTGATGGCGTGACGTCACTAACAAACTGTTTAACGACTGTTACCTGCAAACCAAATCAGGCGAGCTTAACCTTAGGACGCGATATGCCTTGTGATGATCACTATTATGTTTGAGCGTAAATTACATCTGTCATGACATTTTCACTTTATAAAAGCTTGAAAAAGTGATATTTTTGACCATTGGTTAAAACTGTGACTCCGATGCAAAGATGTTAACATAAAACATACTGTTTACTTTAAAAGGTTAAAACAATTAATGAAATACTTTTTGTGAAACTGTTGTTAGGAAGAAGGGAAATGAATCTTATTGATATAAATACAAACGACAGAACAACAGACATGATAAGTCCTAATTCCAAATAAATGACCAGAAAGAGATAAATTAATTGCTTAGGTGTCATATAAAACACAGGGATTATCTTCCCGAACACTTTCTGTAATATTCAGGCAAACAATCATTTGCTGATTAAGTGAATGGTAGATAAAATTCTAAAATGTTAACTCCTTCATTCCTTTATAGGTCTGTTTCGTTGAAAGACGCTCCGTTCTAAACGGGACAGATCCAAATTCCTCGGCACAGCAGCCATCTGAGGTTATCCTGTATAGCGCTGGATGTAAGGACAGTGAGGTAAGACTTACAACGTGACCGTTATTATTATGCCGAGTTGATCTAATCCACCACGTAGCATACCCATTGCTTTAAAACATATCATACACGACTGATTCGCGGTTTTTATTGTAATTACATGCTCTCTCTTGAAACACAAAAGAGGGATACAAGTGAACATTTCATAAACAATTTGCTATTTTATCATTGGTACAGCACTGTACGGATAGTCAGTGCGCTGGTGACATCTCACAAGCGACGGTCAAAGGTTACGATGGTATTCGTACATACCACCGCTGCTGTTCTTATCATGTTTGTAATGCGCAAGGTTTTCATTCCACTGGTACGTATCGATATCTTTCTACAACTGTTAATTAACAAAGATACACATCTTATTATCGTTTTTTGTGTGTCTAACTGAAACTTTAATACTCCCTATTTTATTTCTTAAATTGTTCATGATTTGTTTTTTTCACTGAACTGATGTATGGACACTTCACCTTCTACCAAGTTATTTATGTTATCTAGTGAGTGACCCGTGGAACCGCCTTTGTCTAACATGTGACAATGCTGCAACAGCAGACAGTTGTACCACTATTAAACAGTGCGGCGAGGATCAGGTAACGTATACTACCTGTTGCGAATACGGATTATCTGTTATTATTACTCTCGAGGTGAATAGCTTTGTAACATTAATAAGAAAGTATGGCCTTTAAACCTACAAGTTTTTTGCAGTATATGTAAATGAATTTGTGTCATTTTCAGATGTGTTCGTCGTCGTTACTCTACCCGGACGCAAATATGAAAATGGAATGTCTCTCAAAGAAAGTATGTGATATGCAATTTGGTTTCATTTGGCAAAAGTTAAATATAATACAACCTGGACCGGGTTCTAGCGAAAGGCGTTACGTGTAGCTAAATCGTCGTGTTCAAGAAATAATGTGTGTATGTAGAATTAATTAATTCAAGTATAGTGTTATATGGGTGATCATTTGGATACTTTGACATAAATACTAATGTTTCATATTATTAAATACCGTCTTTATATATAGATTTAAGTTTTATTCAAATTTTCTGTGAACATAGATTTTTAAAACAATACTATAATTACATAGATTACATAGGAACATAAATATAAAAGTACAGTATAATTGTGTAGATGATATCTATATTATCCTCGATTGTATTCATTAGGTGTGCGACGTAGTTAGTAGCACTATTAGGAAGCGGCTCCACGATGGTGATGTCCTGGCGACACGATGTTGTGATGGTCCCTTGTGTAACAATCAGAATATGTACGGTACTACACCTACAGGTAAATCTTTCCTATGCAACAATCAGAATATGTACGGTACTACTCCTATAGGTAAATCTTTCCTATGTAACAATCGGCATATGTACAACCATGTGCTTACAGGTGAATCTTTCCCGTGTAACAACCAGAATATAAATGGTACTACGCCTACAGGTAAATCATCCTTGTTTGACAATCAGAATATGTACGTTACTCATGCGTTAAATGTTTTTAGGAAACTTTCAAATTCCTGATAGTTTTGTCATTTATGAAGATTACAAGTATATGTTTAACCAAAAAAATCCGTGATGAGAAAATTAAAGCAAATTGGCGTTGTTGCATCATACTATCATTTCCCGAAAATAATATTTATTTCATTTTATTTTTTAAGTTTTCAATTAAGTTAACTAACAAGATACAAGAGGCAGGCATACACATTTTCCTCAAATTGCTTCAAACTATAAAACGTGATAAAGAATAGATACCATTCCTTTTATTGCAAAATAAAAATGCTACATAATATAAATGTCAAACGTTCGATTTTGGGTACCGTCTAGTGTGGGTACTCTCAGGTTACGGTACTGTGCCTATATGTAAAAAAGGCTTGTGTCACAATCAGAATATGTACGGTATTGCATACATGTAAATGTGAATGCCTACAGTTAAATCACTCAATATAACAATCGGAATAGCTACGGTAAGCTGTTTCCAGTAACATTTTCATAAACCCCACATTTGTGATTGTCAGAATATGTACGGTACTTACCTTATTTAAATCAGTGTTGACTACCAATTAGAATATGTACGGTACTCTGCTTATAGTTTAATCAGTCTTGTGTAACAATCAGAATATCGACGATACTCTGCATTTAGGTAAATCGTCTTTGAATAACCAACAGATTGTATAATATACACTGCCTACAAGTTATTACTCTTTTGGTTAATTTATCAATAAGAAAGGTAAATATTATCTGTATTACTTCGATTGAAAACAAAATATTGGTCAAGTAATACTCTCTATTCCAATCATCAGCAATATCCGCAGTAACTATGCTCTCCTGATATAATTATTGTCGATAGAAATGATCTTTTTTTTACAAACCATTCAAAGTACCAAAGTACATCACTATTGAGTTCAACCACTTACATCGTTTTACAAATTGACTTAATTGCTTTTTTCCAAGTTACAACAACATCTCCACAAACAACTCCACCTCAGTGTACAGAAAAAGATATGTTCAGACTATCGACAGTAATGTCAACAGTGACGACTCTTTTGACACGTGCACCGCCGCCTCCACAGACGCCAACACCTGGGGCTAGACCTGATGGCTCTTTTGTACCTACTCCACCATCTCCGGCACCACTAAAAAATTCTATACCCAGACCAACCACTCAGACACCTATGCCAATACCTTTTTCCAGTCCTCGGCCAACTCCACCAACCCCAGCTCCAGTGATAACAACCAGTCCTAGACCAACTCCACCAACACCAGCGCCAGTTACCATTAATAGCCCTAGACCAACTCCACCAACACCAGCGCCAGTAACCATTACCAGCCCTAGGCCAACTCCACCAACAATAGCGCCAGTAATAATAACCACTCCTAGACCAACTCCACCAACACCAGCGCCAGTAATAATATCCACTCCTAGACAAACTCCTACAACACCTGGACCAGTGCCTCCTTCCAGTCCCAGACCAACTCCACCAACCCCAGCACCAGTATATATTACCAGTCCTAGATTAACTCCTCCAACACCTAGACCAGTTACTCCCTCCAGCCCTTGGCCAACTCTTCCGACTTTAACACCATTTATCAATATTACTCCTAAACCAACTCAAATGAGCCCAGGACCAGTAGCAGTTACCAGTCAAGGACCAACTCCACCAACACCTGATCCAGTGACTCAAACTCTTGCTACTGCACCAGCTACACCATCGGGTGAGTCTACTACATGTCAAGAGTCGATCTGTGATGAAGCTCTGGTCACACCTGTATATATAAAACTAATACCACAAGTAGCATTTCAAACAAGGTAATCAGAAAAGTCAATCAGGTTCGATGGGACCAGTCCTAGTCGACCGTAAGACATATAGTAATTGTACTCCGTTGTATTGTTGAAACATGGTCAATTACTGGCGTTTGTGATGACTTGTTTCGGACCTGAAAACAAGATCTTGAAATGATTGAGTAGATATTGTTGATCTCGGGGCATTGTTTTGTTTTTGAAGATACTCTCATTATTACACTCGTTTATGTGTGTGTGTGTTGTGTTTTACCTTGGAATGCATTGTCTCTAATGGCGTTGTCTTTTCTTTAAGGTGTTGCACAGTCTTGTAGTGACAGGCCTGGGATTCAATGCGAGTTTATGGCTGAAATTAACATTTGCTCTGTCCATAATCTTGCGGTTAAGTATTGCATGAAGTTTTGTGGTCTTTGTACATCTTAGAAAAATAAATATTTGTCAACTGAGTACTTTTTGTATTTGTAATGTTTATTTGTATTTAAAATATAAACAGTTTTATCTTATGATTTTATACTACATGTATAGAAATTAACATTAAAACATTATCACAAATGGACCTAATGTCGGCCAACATTTACGAGGTTTAAAACACGTTTGTGTTGGTATATATGCATTTTGTGCGCAGAAATAGAAGTATATATAAATAAATATAATATGTACGGACATGTAAAAAATCAGTCAAGAATCCAATACATTCGTATTAACTGACATTCAATTCATAAACCAAATGAAAGATGTTCGGTAAGTTGACAGGCAACAGTTCACCAAAGGATAGACTTTGTCATACAATCACAGACTTTGAAATTCATAAATAATTCTAACTAGTAAATACTGGATTCATTTTTAATTAATTCTGTAAAAAAATAATAAACACTTATGTCCAAGAAATGCGTTCTGCTACATCAGTTCAAAAGCATAAATCAAACATTAACATAGCTATACAACAATCTAGGTTATGGTTCTGTATTCTTTGTTAAAACATAATTACATTTCAAAGCTATCAACACGATGTTTGTATAACTAGCATTTTTGCTTTTTAACAGATAAAATAACAAAAGCAACGTGAATAAAAAAAACAATTCCTAATCAAGAAAAGGGGAGGTATGCCTCTTCAATTTTTTGGCCAGTCGACTAAACATAAACAATGGGATGACAAACACACCAACCCATAACACTGTAACTGTATTTATTTTTTAATTTTCAACTTTACTAAAACACTTGTTATCGTCGGATTCCATTTGATTGTGAACACTGACAAAGGACAAGACAGATGCCATTTTGACAGTGCAAGAGAAAATAATGTAGACAAAAACAGCTGCCACAGGAGGCATATGACGACTAAAGGAAACTTGTCTACCAGAGACAAATTCATTCAGGACTTGATTAACCCAACCAGACACCAATAAATGGACACCATACATCGGTATGTTTGGTATGTTTATTTTCCCCTAGGCGTTGGATTTGGGTCAGAGACTCAGCAAAGCCTCAGTTCTGACCTTCATGTCTACAACCGAACATGATGGATATTGTACCCGAGGGTATAACATTTAAGGACAGTACAGAGGCTTTGCTGGATTTCGACTACATACTATAAATCGTTTTGTAGAGTGTCTGCATCCATTTTAGATATTTAATACATATTAGCAGAAAAAGAGTCTGTCTATACGAATGTATATTACCTTCATCAAAACACTCTTTTTCTGCTTCTCAGATAGTCCCCCCATATGTGCAACGTTGTTGCAGATTAAATCATTTTTGTAATGATACATGACCGCCGTATTATACTCTTGACCTCATATAAAGTAAAGTATTGATACACCTGTCCAGAGTAAGAAAAAAATATCCTACATGAGTATAAGGCATGCGTTTTACATATGTACAATGTAAGGATGGGGGTGGGGAAATATATTTTCTCTGAACGAATGCATCATTTCTCTCCTACTCTATCCGCTCGACTCGAAATATGTGTCCATTCATTTTTTTAAATTTAAAAACCCATTAATTTTACCATTTGATATTGAGTTGATTACAAAATGTACATTTACAACGAACCATATATTATTATTTATATTATATTAACATTTTTATATGGGCGGATTGGTCGAGTGATTAACACTCCGGTCTTCCACACAGCCGGCCGGGATACGATCCCCGAAGTCAGCGTACGAATGGATATTCAGAGAAAGTGTTTTTCTCCTGCCCACACAACTCCAACAACTCAGATGGAGTATAGATTGATCTGGGGTGGATGTTGTATCTGTGCTGTAGCATCAAGTGAGGTGGCAATATAAATGATGCCGTTGGAAGCACGGTCCAACTACAAACAGAACACAGTACAACTTCAACACACACGCAGGCATACACACATAGGGAGATATTAGCGAGGTGGCATATGACTAGTTGTTAGCGCCTGATAATTCCTCAAAATTGAAATGATTAATGTATATGATATTTGTATTAATTGTGTATCTATGTACTGTAAAGCGCTTTAGAGTGGCTTATGTTAGCTAGATAAGGCGATATATCAAATGTTGTATATTTATTTATTTAATACTAACTCCAATTGGGAAAATGATTGTATTAAAAGTTCAATTGAAAAAATAAGCTATTATGTTTTAGAAAAAAAGAAATCCTTTTGCTTGTAAAAAGCCCCACAATGTTCCCTTGTTTGCAGATGGGAGAATAGTTCATACAACCACCAATTCGGAACCTGCTAGGCGAAACCGGTCGAATGACAATCTTAAGACTGGTATAGTGTTTTGCAGGCAATGCGCATCTGCGGGCTCAATCTAAATCACATGTTCAATTGTATACGTTAAGGCCATATTTTATTTGGGCATTACATTACTGGCAATGAACAATTATATTTTATGACTTACGCGCGACTCATGAATAACTAATAATCTTTTCATATGTGCAGCAATAGACATATAAATTGTATGCTCAGACCGTCGAAGAAACATAATACTATTCCCGTGTTGTTCTTGATAACTTGTTTCTGAAGTTATCATGCCAACTGGTACAATTAGATAGTGGTGATGTACCCTGCTCGACTTAAGATAGGTAAGAGCTGCTTCAGTACGTTCTAACTCAATTGCTACTGTAGTCTGCAATATTTGATCCGAATATCAATACGTTTCTCCAATTTTCAAATAGCACCTTTCAGCCTCTAAAACGGGAACCTGCAACATATGTTTCGATTTCCACTATTTAGTCCCTATCATCACCGATGAGTCCTAAAAGGACGGAACAGCGGTATGGTGCGGTGTAATGTATTACACACTTGTATAAATGCAGTCACATGTGTGTTCTTTTTTCAAGGTGGTAGACTTTGCGGGTGGATTTCATAGTTGCCTAAGTTTGCCGTAACATCAATGGTCACATTTATCTCTTTTGAGGTGGCACGGTTCATGATATACACCCTTAACTCATTATTAAATTTGACTGAAGCAATTATCCTGTACTTTTGAAAACCATACAATTGAAGTGTTTATGCACCTTCCCTCCTTTTAGTCCAACACTTATTTGGCTACGTAGTATTACTGATGAAATCTAAGAAAAATGAATGTACAGGGCAGTGTTGTTAATTTTTTATGCTTACTGTATATTACATAACACGCTAACAACATATGTGGACTTAACATTCGCTTCGCATTGTGGCTGCGACAATATTGTCTTGCCCCTACTGGAGCAGACTCCCTCTCTCAAGTCCATTGGAGCATCTCTCTCTCTCACACACGTCTTTTGGAGCCTCCCTCTGATTGCCCCATGTAATTCCGTTTTATCAAAACTCATAATACATATGTACATATCTTATTAACTATCAATGATCCCGTACCACCTCTTGTTCATATATAATTTGGCAATAATTTGGCACGTGCGACAATTTAATCTAACCTCTAATCTAACTTTCCCCTAGCTACCAAAACAACAATACTAGATAAACCATATGGCAATGACAGTTACTTCTGTCCGGTTTTAAGAGTTCACACTTTCGTGGTTATCTATGTCATCCATGACGGACCTGGTCTCTCCACTTGATGGGTAGCCCTGTAGCACTATCCACATTTCAACAGCACCTCTGTCAGTCACTGCACGGTGTTTCCCAACTCGTAAGATTTGACCCCGATTGTACTTTTGACCAAAGTGCTGCTCTCTATTTTACCAACTGACTTACATGTTATCCTTAATTGTCTTATTATCGGGCCTATTTTGTTACACGAATCTAATACCAAATTCCAGAGGTGCATTTACATGTGTGTGTCTTACGTTCTTTTAATGCAATTAAAAGTGCGAATCACGAATCGTGAATAATTTTTATATTCTGGAGACCTAGAATGCTCGGTCAAATTATACAATCTGCGACTATATAACACCTACTTAACCGACATCTAACATTTCATGGAGGCCGTGAATATCGTGGTGATATTTCCATATATTTCTGTTTATTTAGAGATCAAGTAATCAACATGGTTGTGTACACATCGAGGTCTGTGTAAACATACGCTTATAGGTCAGCGCCTACATAAAGGTCAGGTTAAGGTGAAAACTCTCGAGAATCAACGCCTTTTTTGTGGATTATAATTCTAATTTAAAACAGGTATTGTGAATTTGAATATCATACATTTTTAATTTATGGATTGATAATCTCGGAGATTCATTAATGCCAAAATAATAGTAATTTAGACGATGTGAATTTAGTCATCGCATGAGGCTGTGTCATGTGAATTATTTACATTGTTTCGACACGGTATCGAACAATTAAGAAGAAGACATACACAATGCTACAATGCTGAAATTATCAACTTGTAATGCCATTGTATGTTTTGATATAGGTAGGCGTGTCAGCTATAAAGAGGTATACCATGGAACTCACAAGCGCAGGTAAGTATGTGTGTGTGTACACCCACTCCAGGGGTTTTAAATGCTGACATAGTTTGTCACTGTATTCAGATTTAGGATTGATGATACATAAACGCAGTATTACGTATTTAAACTGCGGAACACTTTAAACATTGATTGTGTTTTGCTGTCGATATTAATTACATTAAAGGACGAAAAGGCTATATGGTAAATTAAATTTATTTACACGGTAGTATGCTTGCCTTTCTGTATCGATTACTTTTTAATAGGTGATTCATTACGTTGTATTTCTACCTTTATTTATCTATAAACTTTCAATTTTTTAACATATTTTTAAATGTCAATATATCGATAGAGATGAGTGCTTATTTCACCCGTAATATCAATAATTCATCTTAATACAACTATCGCTGACGAAAATTGCAATTATTTTGATAAATGACCAATTCTTACGTCATAATTTGTTGGTAAGCTCACCTGTTATTTTGGGTTTTGTTTGAGTCCTGTTGTGTTACTGTTGGGGGGGGGGTCAAATAGTTGCAGTAAAAGCATTCTAATGAAGTTAATCTATTACATGTTAATTATATTTCATATATAGATTAGTTACCTCTGTCTAAATGATGTATATGCTTCAAGATGCTTACCATACAATAAAGCATTTACTCTATTGCAATTTTATAGAGGGGTTGACCTTTGTATACATGCTGATTGTTTATGTCGTCAATATAGCTCATTATAAGTGATGAGGTGCACCTTCAACCGACCTTTTATGTTGCAGAATATCAATATAACCCCGACAACTTTGAGGTGACGGAACAAATGCTAAAGGATTATAATGAGCATGGATACATAATGATTCGGTAAGTGATAATTACTGTAGTATACATATCTCAATACCTCATGTGTCAGGGTTCTCACTAAATACACGTAACTGTCAATGTGGTATTGATAAACTCCATAGATGAAGTGTCAAGGTCGTTCACTACATACACGTAACTGTCAATGTAGTATTGATAAACTCCATAGATGAAGTGTCAAGGCTGTTCACTACATACACTTAACTGTCAATGTAGTATTGATAAGCTCCAAAGATGAAGTGTCAAGGTTGTTCACAATAAACAAGTAACCATCAATGTCGTACGGATAAACAAACAATTTAACATTGAGGGGGTAGTCAATGTAAATGATCATGTCGATTCGGGTTAAAAGGACAATGTCCGTCGACACTTTCCAACAAACTTACCATTTTTTATAATGTCTCTGTTTGAATAAATCAATAATATCCATCTGTATTTTGAATAACACAAACACATGCCAAACGAGCATGTCGATAGTGAATATTTGTCATCTCTTAATTGTAATACATACACCACTAAGAGGGTAGAAATACAAAATGATACATAAGTATGTTTGAAAACATTATGTGATAATGCATGCACACACAATCGGCTAATATTTGCTCATATCAACTCTGTTATCCACTGCTGTGTTCCCCCGATCATAAAAGACAAACGACAGAAAGCAACCTTTATTATCATTGATATGGTTATGTCTTGTCTTCTAAGTTCCCTTGATTGTTTTTTTCTTGTCAACATTAGGGATGATTTGGTCCTTGGCATATCAATCAATTTTGTCTTATTATTATATATTGTTAGTGGATTCCTGGACAAAGAGGAAACGACCAAAGTGACCAAAGTATTGGAAGAGTCCGAAATGAGGAGCAAATATGGCTATGGGGTAAATATCTACTGAATTGTTAATCACGTTTAACAACTAGGTAACATTAATCCTACTGTTGCTGACTGTTTATGGGCAACAGCCCAGAATGTCAGACTGTTGCTGATGACACAGCCGGAGCAACAGTTTGAACAGAGGGACCACGCAAACATGTGTTTGCCTTAAACCCCATTTTAATGAATAAATAACATTGAAGCAAACATTTTATATAAAAACGGAAAAACGTTGCAACGCTGCTATTGTTGAGACGTCTCAGCAACAAATTTATGATATCAACTTTTCACCTCAATTTATATAAGAATCAAAGAGCAGAACGTTTGCCAAATATAAAGGTGGTTTTCTAATTGCCTTTCCTCAAGTTTTGAACGGAAGTCATACCAATTGTTTAAAAATACCAAATGCGGGTCCAATATTGCTTTTTCGTCATGAATTAATGGGGAATTCTTCTGAATATGTGTAAAACCAGCAGTTCTCTCGTTTTGAAGTATTGCGTTGGAACGTATATTCTTCAGTATACATTAATTTCATCCTATGTTTAGAGAGTCAGTCATTATTTTGGTTTCTTTAGCTTTGCAATGGAGTTATCTAAAACTATTTCATTGAGTCTTTGATGTGATGTTTTGTGTTAAAGCTACCCGATGGAACCGGAAAAGAGCCCAAATTTGTCATATGGGGCCATCCCGGAAATGACGTCACTGGGATGGTAGCTAGAAGTGAAAAAGTAGTAAATACAAGTGAAAAGGTGGGTAGACCTTTTTCTGTGATAAGTATTGTTAAAAAGTTAATATTGTAAAATAATCTATACAACGTACTATTGGCACATGTTGTAGTTAATTTTAGTTTAATTGCTGAATTGTTTTATAGTTATTAGGGGGAGAGGTTTACCATTATCACGCTAAGTTTGTACAAAAGGATGCCCGAACAGGAGGGGGATTACTGTGGCACCAGGACTACGGGTAGGTCAACTATCCTTACATAGAGATGGTGTTTTTTAACATTATTCTAAATAACTATTTATTCTGCAATCAATATCAGTTACGAAAATATATACCTATTGTGTAAACTGACTGTCCGAATACCATTATTACATACACGGTAATCTTACAATATATGTTCACTAGTATACTATACCAATGTTATATATAAATATCTATATATATACACATCCATTATTATACTGCTTCATAGTGGGGTTGTTTTACACCAGCTTCTTTTTTCACGACTTTGACTGAAAGTTACAAATTGAGTTTACATTAGTTAAATTATCGCTATTTTAAAACCTTTCACGATATAATTTAGGTCCGTGTCTATACGAACAACTAAACTATGCAATATGTCTCATACAATTACTAATCAAACGACATTCTGCTAAGTATAGTTTTGCATGTGGCCTTATGATCAATTACCCCACCATTCTCTCATAATTGTGACTTATCAATTGAAGACATCAACCCGCATGCAGTCGCCATAATAATAAAGATGGTAATGGATAGAGTTTAAATTGTTAAAACATGTTTGAACTACACCCACTCAGTTTATATTACCTACCATCAGGTAGGTAGACATGTATCACTGCACTGTAATACAGTCTAATACAGTTTATAAATACTCCGGTTATATGCAAATATCTTGCTTATTTTATCTTTTCTTATTTTCAAACAACCACATTGAACTTTTATATGAATCACTACAGCAACATTCTCGCTATTCAATGACGAAAGTGTAGTTTGCGGCTAATTTTCAAGCGTGTCATGCTATTTCGGTGGATCATATTTCCGCTCTCACGTTGATGACCCGAACAAATTCACCCTCACGAGAACTGTGCGTTTGGGTATATTATCTTTGAGTTTATATTTTCTTTAACATAAACGGTTTTTTGTAGGTACTGGTACAAGAATAGTATCTTGTTCCCCCAACTTTTGACGTCCTTTATCGCTGTGGACAAGTGCACTAAGGCTAATGGCTGTCTACAGGTGACGTCACTCATCCTTTTATCCAATCAATTCAACCTAATTTCTTTAGTCACCAAGGCTTCGTTTAAGATTCTTTAGACCAAATTATTACACGGATTGAGAGTTAATAAACACGTCATATTATTTTATGATAAAGGTTTCTTTTTATGCAATGATTTGTTTAAACAGGTAACGGTATAGTATGGTAACATTACACCATTTTTCATTAGCAAATATATGAAGTATACAATTTACATACCACGACTGTTTTTATCCTATTTTTTTGGATTTTGTGACTTATGTAAACATATTTGAGATAATTCAACATTCTTTAAGAATTTATAAAACGAGAGCAAAAGACCAGAACCAGAGATTAAAAAGTCCACTCCTTTTTGAGTTTTTAGCTATCAACGACAAGTCTCCTTTTTATGCAAGGCGACAGCTAGTTCTTGATTATAATTTGATAACCATTCGGAAGTTGAGCTAATAAATACCTAAACCGTGTATTTTTGGTACAAGTATAAATACATATCCTAACTGCGGAATGTAGTCAATCCAGAGATGCTGTCTGTTTAATCACATCTATAGACTCCGTCTTATAAAACTTTAAATGTTATTCAGATCCTACGAGGGTCCCACAAATGTGGCCGTATCGACCATTTACCCTACTCAGGACAACACCAGGCCGAGCTGGATAGGGTAAAAGACATCAAGGCGAAATGTCCCCTGGAATACGTGGAAATGAACCCCGGTATAGTACATTTTACTTTATTTTGCCAAAAGGGTGTTTGAGAGTCGTCATCAATATTTTTTCTTTTAAATATCAATCCAACATGATTAATTATATTGATTTTTTTCAAATATACACTCTCGATATTTTCTCATGATATGTTCGAGAAATCTAGTCGGTGTTTATGTTGCAATAACATTAGTAATGTTATGTTATGGTAATCAACACCAAAACAATGCAATCATTAACGTTGTTTTGGTTCCTGGTTTCTTATCCATATCAATTACACATCACTCAAATATCTCCCATATTTGTGTTGGACACTATCATTTGGCTTGTTGTAGGTGACGCAATATTCTTCAGTTGCAATCTGCTTCACACCAGTGACGTAAACACAAGCGATACCCGCCGATGGGTTCTCCTGTATTCGTACAACCTTAAGTCTAACAACTCCTTGCGCCCACATCATCATCCCCAGTACACCCCAATAGAGAAGGTAGGTACATCCTTCTAGTTAAATATAATGCATCTGTTTTAAGTACTTATGATTTGATAACCATATTCTGTGTTCTTGTTTGTGTTTTCTTCAAACAAATATATATCGTTTGTTTTAAATTATTGGATTGCCCGTAAAAATATTAACCAAAATAACATTTTGAAGACTACGTATAAACATGTATGTACACCGTTTCCAATATTGTGTGTAGACACACAATTGTTTGGTAGCTTGTCAATTGAAAGATGTAGAGTACAGGGAGGTAACTCAAGTAATAGTTAGGGAATGCTTTAATTTTTTCACAAGACTGGAATATAATACTATTTATGTATGCATGTCTGGAGGTTTTAAGTGTCAATTAAGCAACACATACAATTTCAAGTTACTGTTTGAATATTGTAATTATTACTTATTTGTATCATGTAGTGACTTTGATGTATTTTCCCAGTTTCCCCCCAGCCATTCAAACCAATCCAATACTGAATCCTACTCTCCTGCATGAGTTTTACAAATTACGTACTTTTATGCGAAGTGAGATGAACATTTTTCATTTCATCTAATATGATTCACTTTTGCCTTCATGTTTTTCACACACATGTACTACATTCTTAACGCTGTTCAACACTCTCTGTTTATCCTTTTTGAACATGTATACAGCAAACATAAATATAGGAATTTTATAATATTTGATTTACAACAGGTTCCCAACTCGGCCATTAAAGAGTGCACAAACTACTTCGACCTGTCTGGAAAGGAATTTTTGGATCCTGATGTCGACAACACGGTCAAGGCTCACAAATCAGAATATTAACAGTAAGGTTTAAGCAGCAACAATTTCCGTGTCTGGACACCTACGTGACGCGTGAACTTCTTCAAGACGTAATCATAGACTATTTTATAATAAGAATATCAACTTCGATACAAACAGTTTGCTGACTTGAAGCAATCTAATTCAATGATTGAGGAACGACGAACACCAAATCTGATATTTTTGCAATGAATATAACAACTATCTTTAATCAGCTACAAGGATATCACACATAACTATGCTGAAATAGTACAAATAATAAATACATACGCTCATCGAATAGTATAGTTTTGTCTGTCATGGTTAATTGATTGGTTTATATAGGGGTCGAACTATGGAAATGCACTGCTCTGTTACATAGAGGAAATTTGTTCCCCATGGAATGCAAAAATGCGGCAAGTCTGATGTCTAAAAACATGACACTAAGTTGTTGTGCAGAGATGTATGTATACTGAAGTCATTGCATACAAGTTTCAGTGTAGAGAGATAGCAATATGTTAACACCGTGGTCACCAAAATCATTTAATATTTCTTTTATAAAACAAAGTCTTTCGTATGAACTTTTACTTATTATTCACCTTGAAGGCAAAGTGCATAACTAAATTAGCTAGTTATTAACCGAAATTTGTCATAAAGTCATAAACAAAAAGAGAAATTCATCCAAAGTAGTACAAGTCATCTAAACCCCTCATGTCATCCAAATTCATATTAGCAATCAGCAACAAAGTAACATTTTAAACTGAATAATAAACAAAAGTCAAATAATTCATCGGCAAAAAATGAATTCAGTCATATTAGTCATCAACAAAAAAAAGTATCATTCAAAGACGAGATCAAGCGTCTTTTTAACAAACAATATTTTCCAAACAAAGGCGGATTGGTCAACAAAAGTCAATAATCATAATCAAAATAGTCTTCCTTAGCATACTATTTATTTACATATGTACAAAATAGATATACCATTCACGTACGAATAAAGGCTATCAACAGCCAAACAATTCATTAACAAAAAAAGTTAAAGTCATACGTGTACCAGTCATTTACCCTGTGCCTTCAACATTTTAGAATAACGGCACTTTGAATAAAAAAAATTAAAATATATAAACAAATAGCATCGAGGGGTAAGGTCAATATTTGAAAACAAATATACAAAACAAAACAATTTAACGACCAGAAAGCTTTCACAATAATTCAAAATTACTAAAGAAAAGAAAAGCGGAATATCAGAAGAAGTTCTTTCGTTCTGTTAATGAAATGATAACGTATTACAATAATACCATTCAGATTAAACTAATTGAATGACAATATAGGTCAGGGGATAAGCAATCTTTCTTTTGTACCTTGAACATGTTCTAGATAATTTATACTGATATGGTAATCGCTTAAACTAACTCGACAGCGAATGACCTGATATGATTTACTTATAATTTACATTACGCTTGTACCACTCATAAGCATACATGGTATTTCAGAAATAATCCTCTCAGAAAAAGACCCTGAAAACACCTTCAAATAAAATTATGAAAGTTTTAATTCAACGATCATCATTTTTGTCCTACGTCATAAGGAAAACTTGTACTGGAAGGTGCAGGCGATATGAAGCCCTGTGATCATTATATGTGTGCTCTACAGAGGAGAGGTTAATTGTCATTTGATTGAGAAAAGGTACCTAGTGACGTAATGTATTATGTTGTTCTACCACGCAGGGGAGATATTTGGCCTATGACGTTTTGTCGATGTGTGAACTAATGACGTTTAGTAAACGTGATGATAAATGCCGTTTAGGAGATACATGTATGCAGTCAAATGTCGTTTACTTGGACTAGCATATAGCGTGTAAGTGATGAATTGTCCTCATTACATTCCACGTACATATGATGTCAGAAAGTTACAGGTAGAGGTACGCAAGAATAGTGATGACTATTTGGTGGCCTGCCTGGTTCCTCCGCCGGTCGTACATTCTTCCCAATCCGGCCAGAACTCCGCCTTCATGCGATCACAGTAGCCACGCACAACGGGAAAATCTGAGTAAAAAGTATAACAAAGGTTGTATGATTTATCCAATCAAGAGGGAGCGAGAATACGAGTGACCGACAAAGTTGAAATGAAGATATAAAATTGAAACTATTGAAAGTTTGCTACATATCTTCATTTAGTCTCTACAATGTTCCCAAAGAAAAGGGTACAGAACACTTCTATCCCCTCACAATTATGTTGGAAGCTCACAATTGCCAACTGATATGAAAATGTATTTTGAAATACAACTGATATTTCCCATTTTCAAATATGGAACACTAATGAATTAATTCATTATTCAATATATGTACATTAAGAGCATTGATATAAATTAGTAGATATGTTTACGCAAAACTTAAAAAGAAAACATGTGATCGTCCCCCTTTTACTTTAATATTTTTATCCGAAAATTACAGATAGCTTTATCAGGTGATTTATATTTTTATCGAAACAATTACCAGTAATGACGCCTCTAGCTATTCCACCAAATGGTTCATAGAACATAGCTGCCATCATACCAAATACGGCACAGTCATACTGGGACACTGCATCTCCAAACAGAAACTTCTTTGTGCCTGTTATGTATTGAAAGAAGCTTTTGAAGTATGTGACTATGTATATTATTTACGTTATTTACGTTATTTACATCCACCTTGATGTTCATTGAACTTGGACAGGCTACAGCTCACATACCGTAAAATCCTCGTGGCCGAGGCCATAAGTATGTGTATCTGACCTAGCTCACATACCGTAAAGTCCTCGTGGCCGAGGCCATAAGTATGTGTATCTGACCTAAATTGGACCTCCGTTTCTATATGTTATGTTACTGGTACATGCTTATTGAGACAAATATTTCTATTTAAGATATTATTACTCCAAAAGTAGTCCATCAGTTATCCAATAAGGAAAGCATTAAAATACAGATACATGGAGAAAGTTTAAAAAGACATATATATAATATAAACTTCCGTTGAAATCTTATCAGGCAAATTAGCAAAGATTTGACAAATGTGCGTGTTTTTTCCCCCATTATGAAGCCCCTGAACATACTTCATGTTAATCAATTAGTTGTATTAAATATCAAACTATTGATACTTTTAACTCCGTTCGCCATCATATAAAGTAAACATTATTGGTGATTTTATATTTCCTATTTATAGGGATACCGCGTCCCACAACCTGGTGTAATACGATGTCTGTCTTCTGTAAGTAGTAGAATATTGATAGGTTGTGTCTGCATTTCGTATTCATATATTTACACTAACATAGCGTACAATAGTTTATATCAAATGGGGGCGTACTATCAGCGCACCATGAATAAGATGATGTCAGCAAATCATTTTTGTTTTTATTCAGGTCGTTATTCATAAATCCACCGAGGAGAATCGCGAATTTTAGTACATTGTAGTAATGTATCATTTCTTTATATATATTCACAAAATTATTTAAACAAATCGATAATGCAATTTCCTTTTGCTTACATTTTACGTCATCTAGAATTGTCTTCTTTTTTTACGTACCAATATAATCAGAAACGGCGTTGATGTCACTACGCAGGATTTGTTCGACTTCATCTTGGGTATGTCGTCCCATCCCTTGTTTTTTGGCCGCGGTCTTAATCCTTGACCTAAAGAGCCACCGCAGTATTTTAGGGACCCCTAAAGCAGTGGGAGCTCCGTTCGTCTTGTCATACACCCAACGGTCGAGAACTACAGTCCTATATCAGGAGAAAGGAGTACGGTCTTAATGAAGGACGACAAAAACTATTTTTAAAGAATTATTATTCCCTATCGTAAATTCTGTTCAGTTTTGACCATGATCATACCTGAGATAAAAACAAAATTAATATTTGAAAATTCACAAAAGCCATAAAATATGAACAGAAATGGTTTTTTAATGTATTCGGATAATAGTCCAAATTCTAATGTAATGGCATAATGTTATATCCTATATATTTGGTAATAGTCGCTGTGCAACTCGAAATAACTCGAAATGACTTTGGAAAACGTTATACATCTTTTTGTTTAATGCATCACTCTTTGACTATTTGGAAGGTACGAAAAGATCTTTGACAACACTATCGTCCTTTGGTACATCCGGGAGGGAAACACAAACACACGATGTTGGCTGCTACATCTAGTTGCAATTAAATTGCAAACACATAGCTTAACTTTCTGTGCATTCAGAATTTATTTTGAAACATTGACTGTCTCAGAAAACGGAACTCGATTGTGATGCTAGTTTACTAGCATATTCCAAACAAGTTCTAATGGTAAAGGCGGTTGTAACACTCGTAGATGATAATAATATTAATGATAATAATATACATCATTTATATAGCGCCCTACATAATTTGTAAAATTACTCAAGAGCTCTTCACAACATATGAATAGTAGTATTAGTTATAATTGTGAAACAAAAAAGCTTACAATCACCTTTATACATTACTCAAGCAGATAATCATCGCAATGTGAACATAAATGAATAAATAAAGGATGGTATTTACATAACGTCTTTGCAAAGAGCCTAAAATGCAGACGTAAAGAGGTGAGTTTTTATGTCCTTCTTGAATTTGGCCAGGGTATTTGACTTTATTATAGCATTTGGTAAGCTTATCCATAACGTAGCCGAAATCCTCACAAAGCACCGGTTTCCATAGGTCACAGTACGAGAGTTTGGAACAAACAACAAAGATTCTGACGGCTGATACAGGGTAACAAGCTCTTGTAGGTACTGGGAAGCTGTTCCATTCAGTGCATTGTTTGTTTACCAAAATTGTGTACTGCGACCTGTATCGTATAGGTAACCAGTGCAATGAAGATACCACTTGATGTGCTCTCTCTCTTTCGAGTACGAGTAACCAGCCGTGCTGCAGTGTACTGGACCCTCTGCAGACGACTAGTTAGTTTGACAGATAATTAAACCGAAAGGTAACAAGTGAATGAACCAAAATCTTGCATGCATCTTTAGTTATAAACTTCCGGAAACAGCCGATGTTCCTGATCTGGTAGTTATATAACAGGATTTGGCAATAGCGTTCACTTGTTTCGCCATGTTCAGTGAACTATCAAAGTATACCCCTAAGTTTTTAACAGCTGGGAGAGTCTCGATAGTTCTGACACCAACCTTGAGCTGGAGAGTCATTGTTTGCTGACACTTTGGGGAAAGACGATTAGTTCCGTCTTTTCCTGATTAAGCTTTAGCATTTGGCGTTCCTCCAGGTACTGATATTTGTCAGACAAGCTTTTCTGAAATTGTATCCCAACTGGCCTGTTGTTTGATGAATATAATTTCATTCGTTTGAGGTACGAATTAGACTGAAATTGTTTTCTCCTGTCGTATGCGTGCTGCATGAGGCAGCATGTAGTGTCCGTGCTTGTGTCGCACGGGTGGGTGTGTAAGGTGTAAGGTGGTCATTCAGAGCGACCACGTCGACACACGTTCGCACAGATTTTCTAAAGTACTGAGAGCGAGGTAAAGTAAACACATTTTTCGATGTCTGATCCTGCAGAGGGTTCTTCACTGCCTCCAAGTGATGGAGTTTTAAATTCAGGAGGACAGATAAGTTTAGGAGACATTCTAAACGCCGTGAAATCGCAAGGTGACAGTATTGCGTCTATAAACGCAAATTTACGGCGCGAAATTGGGGAATTGAAGGAGGAAGTAAAGGGGTCGGCCGGGCAGGTGTCCGCCCAGGTCAAGCGTTTAAAGGTGGAACATTCTTTCAAATGGAAAAGCGAGAGTCATAGACTGCAGTTTGCCCTCAACACAGAAATAAAGGAAGATTTGGATCAAGTGTCTTGGGCTTTACAAAATGTAAAGGTCGACTATGCGTGCGAATTAGTAGCTAGTGTGCAGGAGAAATTGTCCAAGCGAAACAAATTAATTAAAATCGCGGATACCAGTGACGGTGGATGGGAAACTGTGCGTCATTACGAGCACAATCCAATAGCAAGTAATTCTGACGATGAGGGGAAAATCAACAGGGCGGAGAATCGGGCCCTCAAGAAAAAGAAGGGAAAACAACAACAGCACAATCGTAAACAAAGTGTCTACAAGCCTGCGAGTGTTGGTCCTGGTGTTTCTGGTGTTCAGTTGCCCTTTCGTGTGCCCCAAGGTCAGGAGTCATGGGTCAACGCGTGGCCCGCATCCCAGGCCGGGTCAGCACACGCACACACTTACCCACAACGAAGGCGGACGACTGGAGGCGGATGTTTTAGCTGTGGATCATTCTCACACTGGAGAAACGAGTGTCCAGGCCAAGCCAAGTCCAGTCGTGCAGGCGGAAAAGAGTGACTTTGTAAAAGATGAGTATTTTTTGACTGATGATTTTTATGAATACGAGCAAGGGCAAGCTGATATCAAAGTCAAGGGTAGATTAAAAGGACGTATTTCGTTCTGGGAGAGTATAGGATGTAGCAATTTTATATTGGATACTATCAGAAACGGGTACAAGATTCCCTTTTATTCTACTCCATGTTCGGTATGGTTAAAAAATAATCAGTCGGCGTTGAAACATGAATCATTTGTTGAGAAAGCGATCTTAGATCTGGTAGCAAGGTCATTGGTTGTAGAGTGTAGCGAGATGCCTTACGTCACTAACCCATTGACAGTGTCCGTTCAAGCTAGCGGTAAGAAACGTCTTATATTAGATTTGAGACACGTCAATGCACACCTGTGGAAATGTAGTGTAAAGTTTGAAGATATAAGGGTGGCCATGCAATTTATCAAAAATGATTGTTTTTGTTTTAAATTTGACATACATTCGGCCTATCACCACATTGAAATTTTCGAACCACACAAAACATTTTTGGGTTTTTCATGGCGATTCGGTAATAAAGTCAGATTTTTCAAATTCGAAGTTATACCTTTTGGTCTGAGTTCCGCATGTTATTTGTATAGTAAGATCACCAGGCCTCTAGTTAAAAAATGGCGATCTGAGGGCAAGGAAATTCTTATGTATCTTGATGACGGCCTGGGTACACACGCTGACAAGTCTGCGTGTACGTTGATAGCTTGTCAGGTGAAACATGATCTGATCCAAAGTGGTTTTGTTCCTAAACCGGAAAAGTCTACTTGGGTGCCTGTTAGACAGTTAGTGTTTCTGGGAAACTTTATAGACACCGTGTTGGGCATTTTAAAAATACCACAGATCAGAATAGACAAGTTACGGTCCTGTATTTTGGGGGTCAAATCCGATATGGCAAAATTTGAGTCGGTTTGGACTAGGAAAGTAGCATCTATTGTAGGACAGATAGTTTCAATGTCATACATTTTGGGAAACGTTGTATATATAATGACAAAGAGCTTAAGTATTGATATAGCATCTGCCCCATCATGGAATGCCGGAATAGTATTGTCTAGGTCAAGTATTGAACAACTTTATTTTTGGGAAAGGAGTGTCGATCGAATAAACGAGAAAAAGTTTAATTTTGATTATTCCTGTCAAAAAATAGTTTTCAGTGACGCCAGTGGTACGGGTTTCGGGGGATATGAGGTAGATACCCCGGTTGGTTTCGCCCACGGTATGTGGAGTGATAGCGAGAAGGAGAAAAGTTCGACATGGCGTGAATTGTCAGCTGTCAGTAGTGTATTGTTGTCATTGGTACACGTGCTTCGAGGTAAGCGTGTGAAATGGTACACAGATAACCAGAACGTTGTGTGTATTGTAAACAAAGGGAGTATGAAATCCGAGCTACAAAGTCTTGCGTTGTCAATATTTGACACGTGTTTAGCAAATGGTATTTCTATTGATATTGAATGGATCCCTCGAGGGGAAAATGAGCAGGCAGACTACATCAGTCGTATCATTGATTGTGATGATTGGGGTGTGTCTAAGGACATTTTTGTCCATGTAGATTCCCTTTGGGGGCCTCACGAAATTGACTGGTTTTCCAGTGTCAACAATAGAAAGCTACCGGTATATTTTTCTAGGTATTTTGATACACAGTCGTCCGGTATGGACGCGTTCACAGCTGATTGGCAAGGGGTGAACGGGTGGTTCGTGCCACCAGTATGCTTGGTGCATAGAGTGCTAAAGTATATGCAACAGTGTGGTGCATACGGCACGTTGGTTGTACCTTTGTGGAGGTCTGCCAGTTTTTGGCCATTTTTATGTCCAAGTGGTGGCGGCTTTAGACCCGAGGTGGTTGGAATGTTATACTTACCAACTAATAAAGATTCATATTCTCTGGGGAAGGGAAATAAGTCTGTATTGGGGAGAATCGATCTGCCTTTCAAGATGATTGCTCTGCGATTAGACTTTGGATGATATCTAATGTAACCAATACTAACCATCCCTAACTGTAGTGCTTTCTGCAGTTGTCCTAATTACAGGTGCTGTCTGTAATTGTCCTAACCACAGGCTGCATTAGCTGTGGTTGTCCTAAATTACAGGGCTGTCTGTAATTTGTATTTTTCTATTAAGCAGAAGTTTGTTTTTTGTACTTATATTTGTATTGTTGTACAAATTTTTTGATGATATGTGTAATTAAAAGTTTTTTGTGTACATATATTTTCGCAGGCATTCGAGCACGAGATTGCAGAGCTACCTGGGGCCTTAGCCGGACACGTCAGCCTTCTTCCTGGACTTCTGATAGACAGTAAAGCTAATAATACCACAAGGGCATACTATCAAGGTTTTTCAAGATGGAAGAAATGGGCGTTGTCTAAAGGACTAGAGGTGAAGGATTGTTTACCGGCTAAGGCCATCCATGTGGCTTTGTATCTCGCGTGTCTAGTGCAACAAAGTTCTTCGCCTAGCCCCATCGTACAGGCTTTTTACAGCATAAAATGGGCTCATTCCATTTTTGGTGGGAATTCGCCAACGGACAGTGCGCTTGTAAAAAACATTTTGGAGGGGGCTAAGCGACGTTTATCTGGTCCTAAAGATAGAAAAGAACCAATAACGCCAGAGTTATTGGAATTGATGTATACTGCAAATTTTAGTGACAGTAATTTGTATTCACAGCGTACTATTTGTTCATGCTTAATTGCGTATGCAGGTTTTTTCAGAGTATCGGAATTGTTAAATGTGAGAATGTGCGACATAGAATTGGCGGAAAGTCATATGACAATTTTTATCAAACAAAGTAAAACCGATATCTACAGAGATGGGAACCTCGTCGTACTAGCGAGAACGTATTCCAAGTTATGTCCGGTTTCCAACTTTGTAATATATATCAAATTAGCAGGAATACAAGTAGGTTCGGATAGTTACCTGTTCAGATCATTGACAAAAACCAATATGGGTTTCGTTCTACGATCAGACAACCGGCCTCTTTCTTATACTAGGATGCGCGAATTGTTTATCGAAGTTTTTTCCCCGTTTGTGTCGGATATTAGTAAGTATGGAATGCATAGTTTAAGGTCAGGAGGGGCTAGTAGTTGTGCAAATAGGTCAGCCAATTTAGCTATCGGATATAGATTATTTAAGAGGCACGGCAGATGGAGATCAGAAAACGCTAAAGACGGTTATGTCAATGATTCTTTGGAGGAGAGGCTGTCGGTGTCAAAAAATCTAGGCATTTAGCCATTTTTTATTAATACACATTTCCCGTTCTTTGGGTTTCAGTACACGGCGTGGTCGTGCCGTTGCAATTTATGAAATTGTTGAGTTATTGTTTTGTGACAATCAGGCACAAATGGTGCAACAGGAGAAATATAATTTCATTCGTTTGAGGTACGAATTAGACTGAAATTGTTTTCTCCTGTCGTATGCGTGCTGCATGAGGCAGCATGTAGTGTCCGTGCTTGTGTCGCACGGGTGGGTGTGTAAGGTGTAAGGTGGTCATTCAGAGCGACCACGTCGACACGTTCGCACAGATTTTCTAAATTTTTGAGGATATTTCCTCATTGTATCACTTTAACGAAACTGATACGCGAGTATGATAAGTATATCTAAGTAACGCTATTGATGTTGATGTACATTGAATTTGATAGGATTTGAATTGAGTATGTATATTGAGGATGCAATGTGTTTTTGTAATAAACTCAGTACACGGCGTGGTCGTGCCGTTGCAATTTATGAAATTGTTGAGTTATTGTTTTGTGACAATCAGGCACAAATGGTGCAACAGGAGAACCATATTAATGTGTATGTGTCATCAGCATAGCAATGATAGCGAAGGCTATGGCGACGACATTTTTTCCGATCGGTTTAGAGTACAGGCAATATTTTCGTGGTCGTGATGCTAACGGAAGTCACTGTAGTATTCGTAATTGCATAATACACATACATACCAATGTTGAGCGAAATAAGTCAATATTTAAATCTCGACAAATCAGATGCTACGGGGGTCATCTTCGATACGAGGCAGGAATAAAGAAGAAGGAGGAGAAGGAAGCAGCAGCAGCCCAACCTTCGTTTTGAGCACTTAATAACAGATCATATTTGTTCAAATTGAGGAGTTGAATTATGCGAAGTTATAGCATGATATGTTATATGACAATTCCATATTAAAGAAGTAGTTTACTTCTACTATGTCATAACATGATGAAGAGATGGAATGACGGCTACCAACATAACATACCAGTACGTATTTTCCTCCACCATCTTCTGAAGAGCTCGTCCAGCGCCTCTCTGTTCGGCGCTTAAATGATTGTTAAGATCAATATTTCGTTCCTTGTTCAGAAATTCGATACAGAATTCTGAGTCGGCAATTTTCTTTCCATTATATGAGATCCAAGGAAATTTTCCCTTGGAGCTAGATTTTCCGCTGTGGTCATTCTAAAACGTTTTAATGATATGAGATAAAAGATTGCATGACAAAATATCTTAATCAACTAACATCTATCTTTGTCATAAAGAACATGTTAAATATACTTTTTATGAATATTTTCCCTAAAAAAATCTCAATCCATATGTTTTGGGAGACATTTTAAAAAAGGTTTTGATCATTTCAACGTTGTTAACACTGACATTACTTGTGACGAGTCAGTGCATGTGCTTGGAGTTAAATTGACAAATTGATAAACACATTTTTCATACATGCAGAAATGTATCCAGGAAGCTGGTGGTTTTAAAAACAATTGGACATTTTTTTACCGAGGGCGGTAAAGATGTTAATCAACAAGTCTTTCATTTTATCAAATTTTGACTACTGCCCTCTTTTTTTTGTAGCCACACTGCAACTAACAAAATAGAAAAGGTCAAGAGAGCCTTGCAATTTGCATTAACTGAATATACTACTGATATCAAGCACTTCTTTTATCTAAAATGCTAAACGTATATTTACTCAAACGAATAGTATCATTTTCTCATGTTTGATAACAACCGTTCTATCTATCCCCTATCGTTGTAAGTTCACTGGGAATCAGTATGCCGGGTGTCAACAGCAATATCAGTTTACATAGTTAAAAATAAATATAATATTGTAAAAACTCACTTTATATGGAATGTTTGCTACCCGTAGATAGGTTTCAAGTTTGATTGCAAATGGCGTAAGACTTGGCGAATGTGGAGCGCGCCCTAGCTGGTAGAGCGTGACCATGGGATTCGTATCGCTTCCGCTGTGATAAAGGCAATACATAATAAATATTTAGGGTTTGATAAAACCAAGTATCTGTTATTGTTAAAGGAATCAAACTGACTGTACATATACTCAAGTAATGAACCTAGATACATTGAACCAGAGTCAGGCTAAGATACCGACGAAAGCGAATTCTAGTATCCTGGACGGAGAAGCGTTTTCAGTATCACATATGTCATTAGAGCAGTATATGTAATGGTACAACTTACAATGCACTTTCACGTCAAAGCAGTATATATTATGTTACAGCTTACAACAATTGTCGTCATATAAACTATCACAATGGGAAAGCGTAGTTCTTACCTGACTTGAGTACCTCGTACCATCCTAGATGTATAGATTGTTCGTCTAGCTTCTTGTGAATGGCGAGCACTATATATACTCAATGTCAGTATTGTGATAATACCAATGGATACCAACCTCGTCCTTATGTTACAGGTGAGTTTCTGTGCTGCGTCCGACATATCGACCTCTACATTCACATAGTTTACATTCCATTGAAACGTTATAATGGTATCATGTAAAGTCAAAATGTGTCGTTGTTGTATATTTTAATTAATGATAAACAGTTCAGTCTTTATAATCATTGCATCGTTAATAAACAGAATATATGTATATGGATACATCTTATCTCTGACCAGACTACGTACAAGAAATCACTAAAGGTTTTAGCCGAACCGTTACCACATTTAGCAAAGAGTACATTAAGGCCTTGTCGGTAAAGGTACCCGATGATCATCACGTGCCTTTTCAACAAAGATTGGAAGATATATCGTCGCCTGTGTCAATAATCACATCACACTTTCATGGTGTACCCCCGACCCACTTCCACGAGCGGTCGAGAATTTCACCCGACCCGAATGCTTTTTATTGTTCAAAAGCAAAATCAACATCAAACTACGGGTTATAGGTCAAATAAACGATGACCATATATTAACTATCACTGAAGTACGCCCTTGATGACAACGTTCGTACATTACCATTGGGGAATATACAGTAAATGTATTTGACGACATTGTATGTGCATAAATATATTGTTTTGCAAATACATAATAAGACGTCATCATGCCGATCATTTTCGAAATAAATAATTTACGCATAAAAATATGGTAAAATATAATACGACCATGACGACGAAGCATCAGAAGTGAGGCGACATATTATGTTTTACATTTCAAACCTAGTCACGTTGGGTGGTAACCTTTAAAGGGTCACAAGTTTCTTTGTATGGATACAGGACAGTGTTATACTCAACCGACTTCTTTCATGTTGGTCTCATAATTACTTCACGTGACTTTGCTCATTTTCAAATATTCAGTGTTTTTGTTTACATGGCATTTCATGTTTGTTTTCGGCTAAATATATAGTGATAAGGTTTGACAATTTCAATTGCTGGATTGCACATTGCACATTATTAATGAAATTCTGAATACTGATTCGCTATTCTACTTAATGTTTGTGTTACATATTTGACAACGGATAATTCTTGTATGTGTCATAGAATAGTGATCGGTACCTTTTATTCTAAGGTCTACGGAAGATGTGTGATGAAGTCATTTATCACTTTTTGTTTTGGTTTTAATTCTTGGTTAAAACTACTTCATCAATTGCATAGAAATCTTTCTTGGTTAATTATTCAGATAAATATCATATATATTTCGTGTTTCCGAAATTTCGAGTTTTCAGAGATTTTATTAATGCTATTATTACAGCATTTGGATGTCGAGTCCAATCCTGGTCCGAGACTTAGCGAGCTTTCTATATTTCATCTAAATATTAGGAGCGCTAGACATAACTTCATTGAGGACAAAGTAGATTACTACGACATTGTGTGTCTAACCGAAACTCATTTAGATGATCAGGTCACTACTGATGAGTTATGCATTGATGGTTTTCATTCTCCCTTTCGACTTGANGGGGGGGGGGGGGGGGGGGGGGGATGTTATGAACTTATATCTAAACATATTTAGATTGATATCTGTTATAGTTGTGACTCAGTTAATTTAGCCTGTGATCGTTTTACTGATTTTTTTAAACTTTTGCCAATGAATGTATTCCTAGCAAAGAAGTAAATATCAGACCTAATGATAAGCCATTGATGACGTCTGAATTTAGACAAACTGAATAATTAGGGATAGGTTGCATAAAATAGCGATCTCAACCAAACGTCTGGTAGATATCAACAAATTCAAATCACAGCGAAACAAAGTAAATAATATGAAAAAGTATGCACATGTTACTTTTTATGAAAATGTTTATGATATTATTGATGGGTAATCATCTTCTGATCCTAAGTCTTATTGGAAATTGATTAAAAGCTTAATTAAAACGTCTTATACTTCACAACCAATAACTTCTTTCATAGATATTATTACTTATCATATAGTTACTAGAGATGACGATAAAGTTGAATTATTGAATGACTATGTTTGTAGTATTGCGAGTAGATGACAGTAACACTGATGTTCCGATTATTGAGTCAAAAACTGACAAATAAATTAGTTCAATTATATTAAATTCAACTGAAATATGTGATGTTCTACGATTGAAGCTCGGCAAGGCCTCGGGTGGGGAATGAACCAGCCACCATAGGCTAAGGAATAATGCTCACAGTGTTTGTACTCCTCGAAATAATATTTAATATGTCCTCATTAACAGGGATGTATCCAAATAAATAGAACTTATTGGGTGACAGGCATTCTCCTTCGAACTATAGACCAATTTCCTTGCTGTCCACTGTTGGTAGAGTTTTTGAAAGAGTGATTTTTAAACATTTGTACAACTACTTTATAGAAAATTCTATGTTTTACAAATATCAGTCTTGTTTTATACATGTTCAATCTACAGCGTATCAACTCATTTATATTTATCACCAAATATAGATTGCACTTGAGGAAAGAAAACATACATGTGTTGTATTCTGTGACATATCCAAAGCTTTTGATAGGGTTTAGCATAGAGGTCTTATGGTGAAATTAAAATCGTATGGCTAGAAAAGTATTTGTCTCGGAGACACCAAAATGTTTTTTTTTATAAACAGTTCATATTCTTCTGTAGGTCTAATTGAGGCAAGAGTTCCGCAAGGCTCTATTCTTGGACCACTTTTATTTCTTATATTTATTAACGGCATAGCAGATATTTTTGAATCAACGTCTCGTCTTTTTGCAAACGATACATCATTATTAAAGTCTAGAAATTAAAAACTTTAAATAGAGACCTAGAGATTCTAAATACTTGGTCAAAAACCTGGTTGGTTAATTTTCATCATGAAAAAACCCCAGATGTATTGTTTATTTCTAATTCCATTGATATCGACGAAGACTGAGACTTAGAATTTGATTGGAAATGCTTAAACTCTACAGATTATCATAATCATTTAGGGGTAATTTTTAATTCAAATGCAAAGTGGGGGAGATCATGTCGATGGGATTTACAATTCTGTTATGAAAAGAAATAATGTCTCACGGAAACTGAAACACTTTGGATGCTCTTTTGATAATTTACAAGACTTTTCTTTTACCAGTTTTAGAATATGCTTGTAGGTTTTGATTTAAACATATTTTATTGCAAATAAATATTTACAAAAGAATTGGACACAAGTTTTCACAACTTATCACATTCCTTTTCCTCAACTACATGAATGTAAGTAGTGGGACGATTGCACTAAAGAATCGGAAAAGATAGAAAAAGCCTAACTTGAAGCTGTTCGCATTATATTAGGAATTCCTTCTTATACCCCTATTAATAGTTAAAGAACTGGTCTTGAAACTTTATTTAATCGAAGAAACCGAAGGAAACTTCAGCTGTTGTGTAAGACGCATAATAAATTAACTCCTGATTACTTCAATCATCTTTTGGCGCCCTTATCTGGAGAAAATAACCATTACACTTTACGTAACAATAATAACTATAAGATTCCTTCTTTCATACTGTCTCTTACTAACTCTTTTATACCTTCTACTCTTCATTGTTGGAAAAGCTAAGAAAATTCGGTTCGATCCTTGCCCTCTATAAATTCATTCAAATCGTAAACTTCATATTTTGTATACTAAGCTCAGACACCAGTGCAGTTCCCTTAATTATGACCTCTTTAGAGTTAATCTTGTTGAGAGTGCAGTTTGTAATTGTGGTCATCCTTATGAGAATTTCTTTCACTATATTTTGGAATGTCACCTTTTTACAAACGAATGACGTCTTCTGGTTCAAAATTTGAATAAGTTTAATGTTGTGTTAAATTAAGAAATAATGTTGTGTGGCAATTTCCAATTTTCCGTGGATCTCAACTTACACATTTTTAGATATGTGCACAACTTTATTAAATCCAGCAAGAGATTTTAAGCTCAAGTTGTATTTACAATTGTATATACTTATTGTCATTTTAGTAATGTCATTTAAAGTGTATATTGGGAGAAGGCGTTGAAAAGTTGTTATGTATAACTTGTGCCTAATCCCTTCTCTACTTTCGGCAATATATATGTTTAAACCGGACGAGTCTTCGTTAAAATGCGCTATCGTTAAATACACAGGCATGCTACAGTAAAGTAACCAGTATTCGAATGAATTACAAAATACCTTGATAAGTGAATCGTGTTCGAATGGTTGTGAGATTTATGTTGGATTCACACTAAGTGCAAAACGATCCATTATTTGTCGGGTAGTTGTCTTTCAAATTGTATTTAACGGAAAGTTCGTAATTTCTTTGAAACTGCAAAACGTTCACAACTATTTAGAGATTTTACTTGCAAAATATAGCCAAACGCATAGGATATCCATGTTTAAGTTGCATGCCATTTGATAAATACGGAACTCTTGGTATATGGGTTGTTCACGTTGTACGTCATGTGACAGCTCAAAATGAACATTGTACATTAATCAAAGCAGCAAACTGTAATACAATAACTCACATATTACAATGTGCATTATCATCAAAGTAGTAGATGGTATGTGACATTTTACGACAATCACTGGATAAACCAAGTACAGAGGCAATATTTAAAACCTTCAATAAGTTAATGTATTAAACAAACAAAGAGAAGGTATACTACCCCACTTTCTCTATTACGGGATCATCAGTGTTACTAAAGGACGTAAGAATGAACGTCGGTATCTAGAGCTTCCGGGAACATATGTTCAGCAAAAGGCGGAATGCTAGCCCGAGTGTCCTCTGGCCCTGACACCAGACTGTGTTTATCTGTCAAACTATCCAAGTCTGGTGTCAGGGCCAGAGGAAACTCGGTCTGGCAGACTTCATATTGTTACCACCAAAACAGTAGATTTAATAGGACAGTTCAGAAGTGAATTGTCATCAAAAGCAGTGGACTGTTATGTGACAGATTACAACGTACACTGTCATGATTAGAGTGGCAAGGAACAAAATAATCCTGCCAACATTTAACTTATAAA